TTACCCCCAAATAAATTGGATTTCCCTTATATAAGATCTTCCCCACCAGTCAGTCAATATATTTGAACTAAGGTGTTTATTTAATCACAAGGTACTTCCTTCCACAGCTAATAAATTATATACATTTCCACAAGAGACCGTGGAACTCGAACCATTACTCCCATCAGTGCCTAAACATGTGGCAGCTCTCATCTCTCTGGCTATAGTCCAGAGAAGAGAAAATGAGGTTCTTGCAGAGTGTACAGAATGTAGGGCAGACAGAGTGTTGAAGCAGGTTCTTTGGAGGTTAGAGCAAGGGTCCCCAACCCCCGGTCCGTGGACCAGTACCAGGCTGCGGCATGCCAGCAACTGGTCCGCACAAACAAGCAAGCCCCATCCGCGGGATGCAGGCAGCACACAAAACATGCACCCTCCAGTTCGTGGAAAAACCTCTGTCCTGGTGCCCAAAAGGTTGGGGACCTCTGGGTTAGAGTATTGATAAATACCTCTATTGTTTCAGGAGCTCCGGTAATTGATCTGACATATCATTTAAAAATGTATCTTCAAATGTTAGAAATTCCTTGGCATCCCCACCTCCTTGTAGCACCCCTGCACTCTTCTCCTGACACTCCCACCACTTCCCACTTAAAGACCAGCATGGTCCTGAGATTATGTTGGTAACCAAGATTGCTAAGCAATGTAGGTATGTGACATCATGCTTTATGACTCAGCAATGGAACTTCTGGTCTCAATTGTCATCGTAATTTGAGGACTACTCTATGGCACCAGGGGTAACTGCTCATCGAGGGCTGTAGCTCAGGATTAGCAAGTTGACTGCCAGTCAAGGGCAAATGTGACATTAAAACCCTTCAAGGGCAAGAAGTTGTTTGGTGAGTTCACTGTCACAGTGCCGGTGGAGATTAAAAAATAAAAAGAAGTATCTACTTTCAGTAAATAGGAAAAAAGCAGATGCCATCAGAGAATACTTCCAGTTGTTTTTTTTTCATTTTGGAAGTGGTTAAGAAAGTGGTGGCTGGGGTCAACAGGATCTACAAGGCAGACACTTTAATGATGTCAAATGATTCTAGCCCTAACAGAAAACAACATAAAATTGATACCAGAGAACAACACATGGGCCATCACAAACATCCAGGAAATCAGAATTACATCAAAGGAAATTGATCTGTCTGGCTCATCTGCTGAGCATCCAAACAATAGAGCAGGTGCATCAGCACGAGAGATTTACTGGCCTGTTCTTGGTATTGTTCATGATCCCAAAGAAAATAGATGACTTTTTAAATTTTAACAGATTAATTAAACTATATTCAAAATGAAGACATTGGACAAAAAGGTTTCCTGGCCCCCATAAACCTGTCTAATGCATACTTTCACATTTCCATTAGAGTGAATCACTACATGTTTCTCAGGATTGTTTCAATTCGGGCCCCTTCCATTTGACCCTGCTTCAGCCCCAATAATCTTTGAAAAGTTAATCATGGCCCTAATCAGAAGTGTGAGGACCAAGAGATTCATCATACCTGTGCTTACTGGGATGCTTTACTATTCAGAGCTTCCTCTCACAGGGCAAAGAGGAACACAGTTTAGACCAGGCATGTCAAAAGTCGTGGCATCGCACGATGTATCATGACTTTTTTCCCATTGCCGGCAATGGGGTGGGCGCGGTTTTGGCGTGATGCATCCGGCGCACAGGCCAGCAGTTTGACATGCCTGGTTTAGACCGTCTTACGTTGTAAAAATTTGAGTTTATGGTGACTTGGGAAAAGTTCTCTCTCTAGCATTTTAGATGAAGGTTGTATGGGGGGGAGTGTTCACAACAGACAATGAAAATATTTATCTTTCAAGAGTACAATGAATTCATGCTGCAATTCAGGAAATACTAATATTCAGGAAGCACTTTATTGTGGCCTTTGCAAGGATATAAGGAATTATGATTATGACTCAGAACTCAGTTCCTTGGATGCAATCCTATGCAAGTCTACCCACCACAATGGTTTCTGTTTCTATTTCAGAACCATATTATTTTAAAGACAGTTTAATTTTGAAGATCACAACCACAGTACAGGTAGTCCTCGGCATACAACCACAATTGAGCTCAAAATCTCTGTTGCTAAGTGAGACAGTTGTTTTGCCCCATTTTACAACCTTTCTTGCCACAGGCGTTAAGTGAACCACGGCAGTTGTTAAGTTAGTAACACGGTTGTTAAGTGAATCAGGCTTCCCCACTGACTTGGCTTGTCAGAAAGTCATAAAAAGGTGATCACATGACCCCAGGACACTGCAACCATCATAAATATGAGTCGTTTGCCAAGTGTCTGAATTTTATCACATGATCATGGGGAAGCTGCCACAGTCATAAGTATGAAAAATGATCATAAGTCACTATTTTCAGTGCCGCTGTAACTTCAAACGATCACTAAGTGAACTGTTGTTAAGTTGAGGACTACCTGTAGTCACCTCTCCTTGGTAGTGGTTAGCATAACAATTTCTCAAGAGGAATGCCCTTGGAGAACCCTAGAAGGACCAAATCATCATGAGTTCCAGCCTGTTGGACTCGGGGGCTCAGTCATTTATCTCAGCCTGATTCAGGGAAGAGTCATACCTTCCCAACAAGTTGAGGCAAGGTGGCTGGCATTAGAAGACTGAGAGAAAGGAACCTTATGTTAATTTGGATGGACAATTTCTACAGAAAAACATACCCAAATGATCAAGGAGGAGGAGCAGGCTGAAGATGGAGGTTTCTCACCATGGGCAGAAAGATATCACGTCTTCCTTTCAGTGGAAAGTATATAATAAAGTGCAGATGTACTATATAAAATCCCTGGCACAAGTAGAGCAGACATTGTACCCAGAAATATTTTAGACTATCATGGATTAGTGGAGAGTTTCTTTGGTTGGCTTCTGCAGCAAAAAAACAAACAAACATTATTATTATTATTATTATTATTATTATTATTATTATTATTATTATTATTATTATTATTATTATTATTATTATTATTATTATTATTATTATTATTATTATTTATTGAATTTATATACTGCCCTATCTCCCTTACGGGACTCAGGGCGGTGAACAGGCGATAATAAAAACCACGATAAATATACACAAATTTCTATCTAAAATCAAATTAAATAACAGGCCTGCTCTAAAATACCCCATACAAAACCCCCACTAAAACATAATCAAACTACGCCAGGCCGGCCGCATGGAATAGATGAGCCTTCAGGGCTCGGCGAAAAAGGCGCAGGTCCGCAACTGTACGTAGGTCGGGGGGTAGGTCATTCCAGAGGGCAAGAGCTGCCGCAGAACGTGACCCATGGTTTTCTCTAATTTTCACAATGTCAGAGTGGAAGGGACCAAAGCTTTGATGTCTCCTTGTCTTTGGTGCTTATTACATGCATTCTCACCTGCCTCAATTTTATCAAAGGGGACATGCAAAGTAAGAATAATAGGTGCAAGTGATAGAATGATTGTTCCCTTTTAGCTCAGAAAATCTTGCTTCTAGACGCAGGTCAAAATAAGCATCCAAGAATTATGACCTCTTCCAATGTGGCTGAACCTTCCGAGCTAGGAGCTGTTGTGTATCCAGGTCCAGGTGGCTTCACCTCTGTGCCTGGAACTTAAACAGGAGCAGCACTTGAAATTTTGCTTCCCCAAAAGCAGTAAACACCCATATTAGCAGGCAGGTGACCAAGCACAATTCATAGATACAACTTGATATGAGCAGATTTTTCTTCACTGGTGCAGAAAGAAGTTGTCTCTGAGAGTACCAGAAGTTTTTTGTGGGTCTACACAACGCTGTTAGAATAAGCAAAACTAAACTTTTTCTTAAGAAGTTCCAAACTAATTTTCCATCCTTTTAGTCATCACTTTCATTAGTAGTGAGAGGTCTATCAGTGATTCATTTTGAACTCATTAGATAAGTTTCTGTTAAGATGTTGACATGCTTTTCTTGTGATGGTCACTTTGGCTCAAAATGTCTAAGTGCTCTATTGTTTATGCGGAAAATCTGTGTGTTTTTTCACTCAGATCAAATATTATGGAAATCTAATCTTTTTTCCTCTTTAAGTTTAGTTTAAGATTTTGTAGGAATCAGGATATAATTTTACCTAATGTTTGCTGAAATCCTAATAATCCCAGGAGAGAGTTTAGTATATAAGTTGGATATATGAAGATATATATGCTTTTATCTAAAGTGCAATCTTAGGATCAAGACAGGAAACCTGTTTTTCTTATATGAACTGCAGGGAGGAGGGCTGGAAAGTAGGCTTTCTGTTAGTAGGTAAGTGAAGGATTGTATTGTCCCAGCCAACTAGAAAAAGTGCTGACCCGGTGCCAGGAGGCCATCAGTGTCTGGAAGAGGAGGAACAGATTGAATCCCTCCAAAATTGAGTGGTTTAGGCTCTGTGGGCAAGCAGTCCCATAACTGCACCAACTTGGCTCTGAACAGACTTGTACTCCCCCATCCAAAGGTAGTCTGGAACTTGGGGTTCACCTAGCTCAATGTTTCTCAACCTTGACAATTTTAAGTCATGTGGACTTCAACTCCCAGAATTCCACAGCCAGCAATGCTAGCTGTGGAATTCTGGGAGTTGAAGTCCACATGCCTTAAAATTGTCAAGGTTGAGAAACACTGACCTAGCTCATAGCTTTTGCTCAAAGAATCAGTGGCAGATGGCCAGGAGGGCTTCAGTACAGTTTTATCTTGTGTGTCAATTGCAGCTATTCCTGGACTGGAGAGTCCTACTCAGAATCACTCATGTCCTTTTGGATTATTGTACTGTAATACACTCTACATGAGGTTGCTCTTGAAAAGTGTTGAAACTACTGCTGGTGAACAGTGGATCAACAGAGCAGTGACATGTATTTCCCACTATGCTTAGGTAACCCTAGTGCAGTGGTGGCAAACCTATGGCATGGGTGCCAGAGGTGCTCTGTGGGCACACGCGCTGTCGCCACTGTCCTAGGCCTTCAGCTGGGTTTTATAAAACCTTTTCGCTTTAGCCTCTGCTACCGTGTGCAAAAAAAAAAAAGGTTCAATCAATCAGTCAATTTCAACTTCTCATGGGGAAAAAAATCTTGCAAAGTTAGAATTGATTGATTGAACTTTTTAGTCCCACCTAGTCTGCCGTTACTACCACAGCCACACCCAGCCAATGGGCCACACCCACCCAGCACCCGACGATGCATAAGTGGGTTTTGGGTTGCAGTTTGGGCACTCGGTCTCTAAAAGGTTCGCCATCACTGCCCTAGTGCTTTGGGAACTGCATTTGCTGCCAATTGGCTTCTTGGTATAAATAAATCAAGGTGCCGGTTATCACATTTAAGCCTCTACATGGCTCCATATGTAGTTATCATTGTTGTTGTTTTTAATTCACCTAACCACCTAATCAGATTGAGCCAATCCCTCTAGAGCTTGGCTGTTTGAGAATGCTATTTGAGCAGGCCTAGAAAATTAATCGTTTATATTGCTACACAGATCTGATCTGTTTCTTCCTTCCCATATTTCAAAAGAGCAGTTAAGATCTGGCTTTTCTTTCTCTTTAAGCAGATTGATACATCAGCCTTTGTTCTGAAGGATAATGTCTAGACATAAAGATTTTGTAAATTACTGTAATTTACTGAGAAAAGCACTTGCCATTGAGCATGTAATCTGTGATCCTTTTTATATCTTGTTTTGCTTATTGTAGTTAAATATTA